GATAATATTTGAGTTAGTCAGCTTTGGAATAGAGATACTATCATTTGTAAGTTTTTTCTCCTGTAATGGAGACAAAGTAGTATTCTCTTTGACTGATAGTTTATGTAGTTTTAATGCTTCTTGTTCAATATTGGCACAATGACCTTCAGATTTATTGGCCTTACGAATCTAGAACCCAAGGTATATTAAACCTTAGACCCATGGATATGCGGAAACACGAACCATCGATTTGCGAACGCCATAAAGGTTGCCTAATCCTTTGATAAGTTCTAGGGTTGAACGCTACAAATATTAACACAATATTTGATAAGTTCGATTTAATGTTCATGAAGAACAATGGAGAGAAAATCTCAATATTTCATTATGTCAAAATTGTTCGTTACAATGAAATAATAATAGCTATTTATACTAAACCCTCAAATCTAGTTAAAAACCGGATGATAAAATATTACAAGAATCAAAATATAAAAGGAATTCTAGTCAAATTAGGTAACTCGCGAAAATTGGAAATATTCTCCCCGGATTTCTTCTATGCGGTCGCATAGAAGGCCTTCAATGTGCTTGGGAATTCCCTGCAAGCATGGATGCGATTGCATGGTAGTTGTGCTATGCGACCGCATAGCTTTAACTTTCCTCTGCCGAACATTTTTCAGTATTTTAGTCGTATCTTCCTCTCCCTATATTTTATTGGGATGATTCAAAATGAATTGGAAAGCTGACTTCAAGGGCTACAAAACTTATAGAAATACAAATCTTCAAATTCGAACGTATTCTATGCCAAAAATGGGTCTCAAACTGAGACTGAAAATTGGAGTGCCTTCCAACCCGTTCCGGCTCACGACCCCAACATGAAACTTGTTCTTTGGCATGTCTTCTTCAATATTATGGACTCCGTTGCTTGAAAATGTAAACGACCGACTTTGTCAACTCTTTGAAGTCTCGAATTAGCCATCGAACGCTGCTCAACCATCGTGGAATTGTTGGAAATTTCTGCCCCCTGTACTCACATCATGTTCTCCTTCCAAGTCAGTTAAACTTAGTTCAACATTAACAAAGTTTCTAATTTCGTATTTAAT